TGGTTCAAGCCGCGAATGTTTGTGAGTGCAATGGTCGATTGAGAGTGCGCTTGAGAATTGCTCCTGTTTGTTGTAGTATTCATGTTGATATGAGAGAGTAACCGGCAACCTAGCCCTGGAACTTGGAGTGGCGAGCCACATAAGGCACCGATGGCTAGGCGGTGGTACTGACCCGGACGACGGCAGAACCGTCTACCACCATTTATGAGGTCAATTCCGTTCGTTTTGAATCACACATTGCACACCTTCCCATTTCCGTTGGTTTTGTTGTGTGACATGGTGCTGTTGTCGGATCGCTACGCAAGGAATCTGTCCTCTCAAAAGGGGGTTTGACTAGTCTCAACAGCTATCGGGCATCATTGGATCTTTAATATTATGTTCACAAATACATGGATTTCTGTCCGGATTTAACCTTGAATGTGGCTCCTTGCGATTGCCTCCTCGTTTTGCAGTCTTCTATTGTATCTGATGCCGGGAAAACCATCCATATGGAGCACTATTCCATCTAGCTATCTGTCACGATCCCTTCTAAACTAGAAGTGTTTTCCTTTTCAAATTTTGTTGTATCAATTTTTGTTCCTCATCTTACGTGATATTGTAATGCAAATGTACGCTGGGCTCTCTCAGCGCAGCTGAGTGAACAATATATCTCTCGGCTCGTATTCTCGCAATTGGAGACGATACGAGACTTTGCGGGCGACGAAAGACATGAAAGAACGGCAACAGGGACACAGGCCGGTGGGGAAACACTGGCATACAGATCTTCCATTGGTCGAGGTTAGCCGTGAACCTTCAAAGCAAAACAAACAAAACGCCAGCGACCAAAATGGTCTAGTGAGATACAATACCCGATAGAATATTACTGGTAGCGTGGTAGCCACGCGTTACAATACTATCTTAGCTGATACCCAGATTTAAATGTGAGATTTGCACACTAAGAATTCTGCTTCAGATCAAAACATTTGCCTATGAATGCTTTTACAAATCTCTTATTTACGATGGGTATGTAACCAAACGTTTGCAATCAGCGTTTTCGAACGACTGCACAGTACAAAACTGCGCCTTGCTCCCTTAATGAAATGTTCGAAGCTGATTCTAAGTAACCTATCTTATTCCAAATGAAACTATATCGGGAACCAGTTCATCAACAATAGAGTCGAGCCAATACGGGGGTTTAGTCACCGGTCACAATCAGGATTGACCATGACCTTGCAGTTGTTTACCCAAGATTTTTTTTTATTTCATCAAACATTTCACCGTTTTAAGTTTTTTTCACTATCCGTGAATGAGGGGGTGTTTTTTTTTAGCTTGACTCTATCCAAGTGCTCTAACCTTGTGTTTTCTTGACTTAAGTTCCACACAGTTTTGCTTTACCGAAAATAAGTGTATCCAATACCTACAGGTCAATATTTTTCAAATCCTGTGGAACATTTGCAACTGTGTACCAACACAAATTTGTCTTGCCCTATTTTTCAAACCTTTAGCACAATTTCAATCCAGCACACAGCACTCGATCAAATGTGGCCTGTATCAGATACGCTTAACTGGAACCATGGTTATCAATACGGTCCTATTGCATTTAGCTCATCAACTTCACAGTCTCCGGGGCTACCGTAAACCGCATTCGTATTCTCATACAATGAGAAGTGATGAATGGACTGCTCCGTTGCCTAACAAGTGGGATGTATACCATGGCCTAAATCAAACCTCAGCTTATCCGCCGTATTCTGTGGACTATGGAATCCAGACCCGGACTCGAACAACTCGTGAAAGTCCCCGAATCTGTTCCGTACAGTTGAGTGACTTTAATCGATCGTTTGGTGCTACCGGAGAATTTGACGATATGCTCCGTGTGGAAACAGCTTGTTCAAACAATTTGGCCAATCAAATGCTGAATACCAGTGAGTTTTGTCAATGCAATTGAAGTTTGCGCGTGGAACTTCGTTTGAATCGTATTTTATAAACAACGGTCGTGTTACCAACTGCGGTTGATATTTTCCCAGTCCAATATATTTGACTGACTCATAACTGCTGTATTCTGCAAGTAACTCAGTGATAAAATGAAACTCAAATAGATCATTTACTAAAGAACTAATAAAATAACTTGCAATTGATGTTAGTTAATGCACTTTGCAATGGTAATTCTGCTCCGTGCTTTCGAGTTATTTTTTAACGTATCTCCAGGGGTCCTATTGTCGAAACCGTTCACACGCACACACATTTATGTGGCAATCTTAGAGGAATCGTGGAAGAAAGAGATAGTTACACACCCTTGGCTAAATCAAATGTGTGTGTTTTATGACAGGCACACCCCGGTTTCCTCGTCACCAAGTCAAACCGCGTCCGTGTCTATCTCGAATCCTGACAGTCTCATCCCATTAATTGTCGTGACGCACGCGAAGAATTCACCTTTTCCACCCTCGCTCCAGCCTGCGCACACACGCACGCACGCACGCAGGCACGGGGTTGCGCGCACACACACACACACACACACACATACAAACATCAAACTGTATCGCGCATAAATCGAATCAGGCAAAGTTGCACGCATTGACTCCGACAGCATTCCCGAAACCCTCAGGCGACAGATGGAGAAATGTCCCTTACCGTTGCAGTGGCGGTATCGTTGCACACAGAATTGAAACCGGTAAAAATCAACTGTTAAATTATTTCATTCCACGTGATTTTCATCCCCATTTAGTTTTCATGGTAAGACTCAAATAGCTAAGCTTTAAACAGGTCTACCAATGACACCTCACGAAATGCTCCATTAAAACCAAGCTGTGCCAGTGGCCTTTAGTGAGGAATCCCTGCTCACTGCCTAATTCGTGGCGAAGGTGTTTTTCGACCAAAGTGGGAGGACGAAAAGCCGACGTTCGGGGTTACAGCCGGATTGGTGAACCATTGGTAGTTCACCCAATGGAGTTGGCCAAAAACCCTAATTCCACTCCAACGGAGGGGAGGCGTACGAACCACACACAACATCCTGGTTGTGGCAGTGGTCACCGGTTCATTTGGGCGTCGAGGTGTATTGGGCACCTTGGGCGTTTGAGCCCGTCCAAAAGGGTGTGTGATCCGATGAACTGGGCATCCGCCCCCAATGGATTGCTGCTTTCGCACACCGTTTTGGATAGCCAAACGCTCTAGTTATAGATTTCTCAAAAAATTCACCTGCCCTGGCCTGGGCAACCTGGCAGCATTCAGCCCACATGCAAATCACGGAACTTCTTTCTTTTTCGTAACGATTATGGTACCATGATTTGTTTAGCGCACAGTCTGGATTCCAGTGTGTGTTATTATATACCAGTGACACCGCAAAGTTCTTTAAATGTATCTCTGTTGAGCGTCAGTAGACAACTATGGTCGGTGCTTGGAGTGCGAAAATAAATTACTTGCCAAAAAGACTGGTCAAGTATTTGACACAAATGAACCAAGCGAGTATCTTTACCCAGGAATGAAAAAAATTATCTTGAATAAATTCCATTTTTCTAAGGATTTCAGAACATTTTCTTGCAGTTCAATTGTGAAACCTCAGTGGAATTCTACTCACTCTGAGAGTTTATTTCATGGCCCGTTCAATAAACGCTGAAGGATGATGAAAAGATCCTTTGTACTTTCATTTATCATTTTTGTTTCCATTCTGCACTCCCCTCACCCACCCACCTACCTATCCCCACCGTGTTAACCTAACAGCTCATAGGTGTTTATCAGTCTACAATCTGGAACAAGTGCCACACAAAAACTCGAAGCACAAAATGATTATCACCTACAATCCTTCATACGGAGAATACTATTGTTGGGTAAGTATCGATTTCCCCCGCTAACCGCGACGGTCTGGGTGATCGTCTCCCTGTTCTATAGATTTTCGAAGACGCCAGTAAAAGAACAGAGAAGGTGTTCATCGTGTACGTATTCAACACGCCGCAGTGTCGTTATACGCAAACGCCGTCCGGTGCAATCGCGGTCAACGAGGAACTGGCACTGATACGAATGAATCTGACCCCGGGTGAGTTGACTTCTGTCGCACATATATATATATATATATATGACAATGTTGTTATATTGTGCGTATAACGTTTATAAGCATTGGAGCTCAGATTTCTGTTATAAAAAACACGCTAACCGTTATGAAGACCTTTGTCAACGAGGAGAAAACTTTTACAAACAAGAGAGCATTTTATCAAACAAGGTTAAGGCAGAGTTCACTCATTCTCCTCTATTTGTTTATGAGTAAACCAGCAAGACACGGTATAGGTGAATTTCGGTAAGCGTTAATTTTACGGAACTCGGAGCATGTGGTAGGATGGGAACGACAACGTGTCATTTCTGCGTGCAATGGGTGTTCAGGAACTGTGCAAATGCTCTCAGCCAATTTCTCACACGAAGTTACGTGATACTCCGAAAGCTTTACAGCTAACTCACTCACAGGAATAGACGAAAGTGGCTAATAATAGTCAGACCGCGGCGTAAGACTTTAAATGCCTGTTTGAGTTAGCGAGGAAAAAATCCGGGGAATAATGAACTAAGATGGGGAAAATAAAATGATAAACAAAGTTTGAAATAACTGACTTGGATGCGCGAAACTGCCTGAGCTTTCGAAGTTGAAATGCTAGGCACCACACTTTACCAAAGCAGTTGTAAGTGTTGGCTGACTAATGAAGATTTCTA